CCAAGACGCCTCCAAGGCGGCCAAGAGGCTTCCAAGAGGTCCTCCAGGAGGGCCCGAAGAGGCCAAAATCAGTGATGTTTGAAGGCGTTTGGAATGTGTTTCTTCTCGGCATTCCGACGTCTCAAGACGGCCCAAGAGGCCCCAAAGATCGCCCAAGAGGCCCCAAAGGGGGCCCATGACGGCCCAAAAGGCCTCCAAGACGGCCCCAAGAGGGCCCCAAGACGGCTCAAGAGGCCTCCAACACGCCCAAGATGGCCTCCAAGACGCCCAGGATGGCCTCCAAGACGGCCCCGAAGCGCCCCAAGAGGGCCCCAAGTCGGCCCAGAAAGGCCCCCAAGACGGCTCCCGACGGCGTCAGACTTGCCAGGAACCCACCAAGATGGCCGAAGGTAGCTCGAAGCTGGCCCAAGACGGCCCAAGAAGGCTCCAAGAGGGCCTCCAGGAAGGCCAGAAGAGGCCCAAAACATGTATTTGCCATTGGTGTTTGACGGATGTTGACATTTGCTTCTGTTCGGCCTTCCGACGGCCCGAGACGGCCCAGGAGCATCCAAAGATCGCCCACAGGTCGCCCAAGAGGCCTCCAAGATGGCCCCAGAACGGCCCAAGAGGCCCCAAGAGGCCCCCAAGACGGCCCAGGAGGCTGTTAAGACGCCCAAAATGGCCTCCAAGACGGCCCTGGAGCATTCCAAGAGAACCCCAAGTCGGCCCAGAGGGGCACCCCAAACGGCTTCCGACGGCGTCAGACGGACCAGGAGCCCACCAAGACGGCCGAACATGGCCCTAAGATGGCCCAAGACGGCCCAAGAGGCGTCCAAGAGGGCCTCCAGGAAGGCCCGAAAAGGCCACAATCATTGTGGTCGCAAGAGTTTTTGAAGGCTTGCCACAGGGGTGCCAGGCGTGCTAAACCCTTTCGATTTGGGTTTTGATCGAAGACGCACGCCTACGGCGAAGCACCGCCGCCCCCTGCCTTTTTGGAAGCGCCTATGTGGCCGGACGTTGAGGCCAGACCTGGCAAGCTATCGGACCATGTGTTCCCCGAATCGGTTTGGAAAGCCTCCGGGTAACACGTGGGCATCTTGAAGGTCATCTTGGCCGCCTGGATGCCATTTTGACCCTTTCGGACCTTCCTTGGAGGACGTCTTGGAGGGATCTTGGGCCGTCTTGGAGGCCATCTTGAGCGTCTTGGAGGCCTCTTGGGTCGTCTTGGGGGCCTCTTGGGGCCGTCCTGGGCCTCTTGGGCGAACTTTGGGGGCACTTGGGCCGTCTCGGGCCGTCGGAAGCCGAAACAAACAAAAGCCACAATCCTTCAAAAACTCATGCAAAAACAATGATGTGGGCTTTCCTGGAGGCCCTCTTGGAGGCCTCTTGGAGGCCGTCTTGGGCCAACTTCGAGCCAACTTCGGCCGTCTTGGTGGGCCCCTGGCCCATCCGACGCCGTCGGAAGCCGTTTGGGGGGCCTCTCTGAGCCGACTTGGGGCCCTCTTGGAATGCTCCAGGGCCGTCTTGGAGGCCATCTTGGGCGTTTTGGAAGCCTCTTGGGCCGTCTTGGGGCCCTCTTGGGGCCGTCTTGGGGGCCTCTTGGGCCGTTCTGGGGCCATCTTGGAGGCATCTTGGGCGATCTTTGGGCGAGCTTTGGGCGATCTTTGGGGGCTCGTGGGCCGTATCGGGCCGTCGGAAAGCCGAAAAGAAGCAAATGTCAAAATCCGTCAAACACCAATGGAAAATACACGTTTTGGAACTATTCTGGCCTTCCTAGAAGCCCTCTTGGAGGCCTCTTGAGCCGTCTTGGGACAGCTTCGAGCCAACTTCGGCCATCTTGGTGGGCTCCTGGTCCGTCTGACGCCGTCGGAAGCTGTTTGGGGGGCCTTTCTGGGCCGACTTGGGGCCCTCTTGGGGTGCTCCAGGGCCGTCTCAGAGGCCATCTTGGGCGTCTTGGAGGCCTCTTGGGTCGTTTTTGTGCCCTCTTGGGGCCGTCTTGGAGGGGCCTCTTGGGCAGTCCTGAAGCCATCTTGGAGGCCATCTTGGAGGCCTCTTGGGCGCTGTGGGGGCGATCTTGGGGGCTTCTTGGGCCGTCTTGGGTCGTCGGAAAGCGAAGAAGCGAATGCCAAAATCCTTCAAAAACCTAAGGACAATCAACGATTTTGGCCTCTTCGGGCCGTCCTGGAGGACATCTTGGAGGGCTCTTGGGCCCTCTTGGAAGCCTCTGGGGGGCCTCTTGAGCCGTCTTGGGTTGTCTTGGACTCTCTTGGGCCGTCTAGGAGGCCGCCTTGGACCATCTTAGGCGGACTTGGAGGATATCGGAGGCCATCTTGGAGGCCATTTTGGGCCAACGTGGCTATCATGGAAGCCATCGTGAGCCGTCTTGGAGGAACAAATGTGCAATTGAGGTCCTTTCCGGGTGGCCGGCGGGACGGGCCAACGCCCCAGGGGGATTTCTTTTGGAAAAAGAACCAAAACCAAACCGAGAGGATTCAGAACGCCAGGCACCCCTGCGATGAATTGACAGGGGGCGGCGGGTTCTTTTTCCAAAAGAACTCCCCCTGGAGCTTCGGCCCGTCTCGCCGGCCACCTGGAAGGGCGCGCAGAGATGCACAGAAGGTGGCTGCAAAGGGTTTTCCGCCTCCAGACGGCTCCAAGATGGCCTCCATGGTGGCCAAGCTGGCCCAAGATGGCCTCCAAGTTCGCCCAAGATGGTCCAAGATGGCCTCGAAGACGGCCCAAGACAGTCCAGGATGCCCAAGAGCGCCCAAGAAGCCTCCAAGACGGCCCCAGGACGGCCCAAGAGGCCCCCGAGACAGCCACAAGAAGACCCCAAGACGGCCCAAGAGGCGCCCGAGAAGCCCCAGATGGCCTCCAACACTGCCAAGATGGCCTCCAAGATGCCTCCAAGACGCCCAAGATGGCGGTCAAGACTGCCAAAATGGCCCTAAAATGCTCCCAAGACGGCCCAAGATGGCCTCAAGATGGCCTAAGACGGCCCTGTAGGCCCGCAAGAGGCCTCCAAGACGGCCCAAGAGCCCTCCAAGACGTCCTCCAGGAAGGCCCGAAAGGGCCAAACTTATTGGTTGTCCTAAGGAGTTTGAATGAGTTTGGCGTGTTTTGTGTTTCAGCTTTCTGACAGCCCAAGACGGCCCAAGAGGCCCACAACATCGTCCCAAGAGCGCCCAAGAGGCCTCCAAGATGGCCCCATGACAGCCCAAGAGGCCCCCAACACGGCCCCAAGAAGGCCCCGAGACGCCCAAGATGGCCTCCACGACGGCCAAGATGGCCTTCAAGATGCCTCCAAGGCGCCCAAGATGGCGGTCAAGACTGCCAAGATGGCCCCACGATGCTGCCAAGACGGCCAAAGATGGCCTCAAGATGGCCTAAGACGGCCCTGTAGGCCCGCACGAGGCCTCCAAGACGGCCCAAGAGCCCTCCAAGACGTCCTCCAGGAAGGCCCGAAAGGGCAAAGACCCCGCCCCCACAGTACGGCGCTAGCGAAAGCGCGGCCTGCTGTAAGGCCGCGGGACGTGCCAGCCGCGAAGCGGACAGAAGCGGCCCTCAGGAGACGATGGTGATGATACCGGCTGCGCAGCTCTCTTTTTGCTGCCGCGCTGGCCGCACGCTCCTCCCGCCGGCGCTGGCGGCGCCAGGCGGGGCCCCTCCTTCCGCCGCGCGAAGCGGGCCTCGCCGCGGTGCCTTGAGACACCGAGGCAAAGCCCAGGGTGGGCGGGCAAAAGAGGGCCCGTTGGGGCCCTGGGAGGGCTTCGAGCCCCGAAGGCTTGAGCGGGAGAGAGGGAGAGAGAGGGGCAAGCAGAGGCAAGGGCAGGGAGAAAGAGGAAACCCAAGCCGACTGGGGAGGGCGGGGCCCAACCGCTCAGGACAAACAACTAAGACCCCGCCCCCGCAGTACGGCGCCAGCGAAAGCGCGGCCTGCTGCAAGGCCGCGGGACGTGCCAGCCGCGAAGCGGTCAGAAGCGGCCCTCAGGAGACGATGGTGATGATACCAGCTGCGCAGCTCTCTTTTTGCTGCTGCGCTGGCCGCGCGCTCCTCCCGCCGGCGCTGGCGGCGCCAGGCGGGCCCCTCCTTCCGCCACGCGAAGCGGGCCTCGCCGCCTTTGCTCTAGCGATACTGGCGCTGCTGCCAGTGGCCCTGCACACTGGCCTGGCGGGCTCTGCACGTCAGCATTGCTGTGTGGGCGCCATGATTGGCGCCATCAAAATTGGGTGCCAGGCTCTGTGCAGCCGGCACCATCTAGACTCTGGGTCGCGCACAGCCAGGCGCAGGCGCCGGCGCGCGCGTGGGGTCCAACTGGCCCTCCTGTCTGCCGATCGCCGCCAGGCAACTGATGCCGGCGTGCGCGGCTGTCCTTCATGGGGCTAGGCCTGGGGCTCACGCCAGCGCACTGATTGCTGGCGGAGCCCGACCTCGGGCCAGGGCCCGAACACGCCGCTGGTGGCGCTTGGCTCAGGCCGGCGCCAGGCGCCCACCGTGGGCGCTGCGGCCTCCAGTTCCCCCGGCTCCCCGCCCCCCCCGGGTGCTCGGGGCGGGCAGGGTCCGGCCCCTGACAGAGGGGTTTCCCCGGGCCGGCGCTGGTGCGCGGGCCTGTGCCCGCGCTCGAATTCTGGTGCCGCGGCTACGCTGGGCTGTCAGGTAGCCAGCTGCTGTGTCCTGCGCTGGCGTCAGTGCGCCCGGCGCGACCAGGCTCGACGAGGAGAGCCGGCGCGCCAGGCGGGGCCCAGCATGGCCCCTGTTCGGCGGTCGCAGAGGGCGCCCACTGTATCCCAAGCACTAGTGGGGCCCGAAGCGGGCAGGCCAGCGCGCGCATGACCGCGCTGAAGTATTGGCCAGTGCCGGAAGCACGGGTGGGTGTGTCCTGCGGGCGCGCGGCTGATCTGCCGGCGGCGCGGGGGTGGTTGAGTTGCAGCACCCAAGCGCGCACGGCGTTTAGGCCGGCGGCTTGGGCTGGGCGCGCGCCAGGTGTACGAGCACCGGCGGCGCCCGCTGCGGCCCCTCATCATGGGCTCCCACGCCTGGCGCCCTCGGGGCCGGCGGCGGCCCTGCGGGGGGTGCTGTCCTTCGCCGGGTTGGTCAGCGAGGAGGTGCCCCTGGCCATCTTGCCAGAGATGCCTTTCATCGGCTCGTGCGACTCCCACAGGTAGCCGTGGAACGCGTCCGACTGCCAGCGCCCGAACCGGCGCACCCGGGAGAGGTCTTCGGTCACGTGGTACACCGCGGTCGCCCCGCCGATTCTCAGGGAGCGGCTGCCGATCTCCTCCCTGGAGAGCCCGGCGGCCAGCCCCGCGACCGTCAGGAAGTGCTGCGCCTCCGCCCTGCGAATTAGGGTACCTGACGCCCAGCGGAAAAGGGGCAGCCGTTCTTCGGTGCCCTTTATCCGCTGGGGATGGTGAGCCTGGAGCCGCTCCATCGCCGCGATCGGGCAGAGTGTCGTGCCGGCGCGGAAGTGGTTCCTCACCGTCCCGACGTTGAGCTGGTCCGTCTTGCTGCCCTTGATGTAGATCACCATCTCGTCGGCGTCCTGGAAGCTGGGCACGCGTTTGCCGGCCTTCCTGGGCCCCGCGTCCTCCCCGTGCAGCACGCGCTCGAATGACCGCGAGCGCCCGTCCTGAAGGAGGTACTCTGAGGCCCTTAGGAGAAAGAAGAACGCCGTCACAATTGCCGCCCAGATAACCACTGTGTCCTCCTCGGGGAGCTTGGCTTCCTGCTGGAGAAAGCCGCGGAGCCACTCGAGCATGGCTGGGGTGACGGGCTTCTTCCGCTTGGTCTCGGGTCCTTGCCGGCGTTTCAGCCCCGCCAGGGTGCTCCAAAGGCGACCTCTGTGGAGCAAGGGGTCCGAGTAGCCAGCCACCAGGTGAGCGTAGCGCACCGCAAAGAGCTTCTGCTTGATGGTCCCTTCAGTCCCCCCAACGACCCGCGCGAGGAGGACGGCGAAGTTGATGAGCGCCTCCTCGTCGGCCAGGCGCTCCTCGCGGTCGCGCCCTGGGAGCCAAGGGCTGAGCCCCTGCGCCTGGCGCACGGCTACCCAGAGCCGCCACCCCCCCTCGTAGCCCGCTCTCGTGCCCTCGCTGAGTTTCTGCAGCATGGCCTCCATCTTCTGCTGCGCGAACCAACTGGCGTAGCCGGCCCCGCCTGGCTCAGCACGACCGGCGGGGGCGAGCTCCTTCCCGGGGTAGTTGCTCTTCCTCGCGATGCCCAGCGCCTGTGGCTTCACCAGGTTGGTCGCCGGCATCTCCTTGGCTCGTCGAGGGCTCTTCTTGCGTGGGCTCTTCGAGCGGGTCACTCGTTTGTCCAGCTTGACCTCTTCTGCGGCTGGGGCCTCGCGAGGTCCGACGAGCGTGTCCTCGTCGATCTCCCGGAAGCGGACCGCCTGGGCACGCCGGCGATTCTTGTGCATTTCATCAGTGAGCGCACCTCCTGCCCTTGCCTCGTCCTCCGCCGCCAGCGCGAGCGCGGGTCGATCTGGTGCTTGCGCCCAAGCGCGGAACCAGCGCTTGGTAGCGTCCCACGCAGCCTGCTCCTCTGGGCCATGGCATACTCCGGCGCGCTGCGTGCTGGTACTGCTGAGAGCCTCCGCCACCGCGGCCAGCACTGCCTCTGCGGTCCTCGGTGGGAGGGCTCTGGCCGCGCCCTTCAGGAGCTCGTCCTCCGTGGAGCCCTGGGCCCGCAGGTTGGCCCACTCGTCGTCGGTCCCTCCCTGCGCCCGCCAAACCTCCTGGGGTGTCAAGGCACGGACCGTGCCTCTGCCCCCCCCGGTAACTCGGAGGAGCGTCGCACCGGGCCCTTGGGGTCCTGTCACAGGCCAGCGGATGGTGCCCACAGGCCCCTCTTCACTGTAGATCAGGTGCTTCACCCCGTCCTTTTTGAGATGGCCGACCGGCTTGAGGAGGAGGGGGTCGCTGGTGGGCTGGATGCGGGGGTCCCACGACACTTCGCCTTGCTGGTCGAGCCAAAGGTGGTCCCTCCCCTTGTCCAAGAGTGGCTTGACGCCGGCAGCCCGCGAGCAGGCCGGCGGCATGTCAATGCTCGCCAGGCCTGCCCCCGCCTTCCGACGCCCGCCCGTGAGCACCTGCCTGGTCCGCGTGGTGGCATCCCCGTGGTGCGTACAGACCACCTCAAACTTCGAGACCACGTAGCCCAGCTGCTTGGGCGCCTTCTCGAACCTGGCCGTGTCCACTCCGTTCGGGGCGTCCAAGATCACCACTTCAGGGCCTTCACTGGTCGCTGCGACGAGGAACGCCTCCATCTCTCTGCCCTTGGGGTCCAGAGACAGCGACGCCATGAGCCATTCTGCTTTCTGGTTCTCCTCGGCTTCCGACCCACCGAAGCGCTTGAGGGCCTTCACGTAAGGGTTGAGGAAACTCCCCACTTCTCTACCCAATTTCTTGTGGAGCGGGAGGGGTTTCGGCGGCCCATGCCCCCGCTGGAGTGCTCGGTGTCGAAGGGCAGCTTCGGCCACTGGGCCCGTCTCCCCTGGGAGACGAAGAAGGCGCTCCTTGGCGTCCTCCAGAATCTGGCCCCAGGCCGCAGGGGGCTCGAGGCGCTTCCATCCCGCGGTAGCCAGTGCGTCGCGAACCTTCTTGACCTCCTCGCGCGTGAGCCAATCGGCCACCTCGTTGTGGTAGGTCCGAACAAAGAAAGAGACGATGCGGCATCCGTGCATGGCTTCAATCCTTTCCACTAATAAGCGGATCAGGTGGCGTGCGAGGGTGTTTTTAGGGCTTCTTTTGGTGAGCCACGCCTTCACGTTCTGATTGTCGGTGACGTAGAAAACCAGCACACCCTCCCACTTCGGGCCCTGCTTCGTGGCCAGCGCGACCACTGCCAACAGCTCGACCACCGCGATGATCCAGTCCTCCTCGCTGCTGTCCCCTCCGACCGCCTGGCTCAGGGCCTCGAGCAGGGGCCCGGCATCTGCGGCCATGTACTCCGGCGTGGGCGTGGCTCCTCCTGCAGCCGCGCTTCTCAGTCGATGGCGCCGATTGAGGAGGTGGTGGCGTCGCCACCGGTCCACCTCGTGGTGCGTGCTGTTCCCGGCCATGCGAGGCGCTCACGTACGGAAAGCGCCTGCGTGAAACTCGCCTGGAGGGTCATGCTCCAAGCCTCGGGGACGTCAAAGAGCATCCTCAGAAAGCTTACAGAGGCGCCCCACTCTTCCCAGGCGAGCTCGACTTCTTCGGGTGTACCTTTCGGCTCCGCCCAGCTCGTCCCGCTGCTCAAGAGCCGGTCCAGGGCAGGTAACTCGGGGCGGAGGGCAGGCTGCGCTGATGCCCAGAACTGAGCACAACCTCGCAGCTCTTGGGCGACCTTCAACGGGACCCGTCGTGATCCCCTGAGCTCCGGGAGGCCGAGCAGGTACTGGGCCTTGATGCACTTGGGCTCTGGGAGCCTAACTATCTTCGTGTCGAAGTTCACGTGGAGGCCCCAGATCAGCTGCTCTGCGGCAAACTCCCCCTCAACGTCCAGCTTCTCATCGTTGACCGCGTCCGGGCCCCAGACCCGCTTCATGGCCCCGTCGAGCTCCTCGGCCGAGAGCCAGGGCCGGAGGCCCACCAGTGGCTCGAGGACAACACCGTCGTCCATCAGCCACTTGGAGGCGTACTTGACAGTATCGTTGATCCTGGGCGCCGGCGGCTCCCTCCTCCCGCGCTCGCTCTTGGCGGGCTACCGGCCCAGCCGAAGACCAGCACGCCGTGGATTAGGATAACTCGCCCTGGCACCCCGACCTCTTTGCCCGGGAGCGTCGCCCCGAACTCTGGCACTGCAGCTGGCTCCAGGTGGTGCCACTTGAAGGCCCTGGCCACGTCCCGCTTCGCGACCACCTGTTGAACGCCAGGGTGCCTTGCTTCCCACCAGAGGCTGAGTCGAGCGAGCCCTCCGTGGAGGGGCTGCTTGGCTGGTGGGTGCTGTTCCTTCGGGGAGAAGGCGTTGGCCGCGCGCATATCGTGGATCGGCCGGCCCTCCTTCGAGATGGTCCGGTCCGGCAGCATCTTGGGGACCCTCCCGCTGGGCGACTCGACCAGAGCCGAGGCGGTGAGCACATCTTCGACCTCGTCTGAGGCCCAGAGGACTACACTGTAGCGACTGTCCTTCCAGGCCTTCTCGAACATCTCCAGCGCGTGGTCCACCGCTGAAGAGTGCGACTTGGCCTGCGTGCGCACCCGCTCCTCCGTGCGCCGCACGGGGACTCCTTCGGTGGCCATCGCCCGGATGTAAACGTGGTGTGGGTCCAAGGACTTCTGCGCGTCTTCCCCGAGCACGCCACCCAGCGGGTTACCGTGGATCTCCTCTCGCGCGTGCTTCAGCAGCTCGGCAGCCCTCTCCACGCTGCCGGCGAGGCGGAGGAGCGAGTTACCTCGCCTCACCACTTCTGGCACCCTCTCGGGCTGGAAGTCGGGGTGGTCGGCGCACCACTTGACGTAGGCGCGCGCCTCCTCCTGCCCCCTCCTCTGCCAGTGGCTGCCGGTACTTCCTCCAGCGGGGGGCCCCCGCAGCGGCCTCCACGCGAGGGGGCCGGCCACGGTGGTGGCATCATCGGCGGCGTGCCCGGCGGCCGGCAAATCTGGCCGGGGAGGAGCGGGCGCCATCCTCTCGGCCTCAGCAACGGCTGGACTGCGCGGGCCGGGGGCGCGGGTGGCCCCGCCGGCTCGTCCTGGCGAGGCCTGGGCTGCGGGGGGCACCCTTTGGAGGTGGCTCGCAGCTGGGCACCCAGCGATCTCGGCCTGGGCCTGGGCGTGGGCGCCTCCTCGGGCGTTTCCGCACTGCCAGCGTCTGCCCTCCCAGTGCGCGGGCCTCCGCTGGAGGTCATTGACCCGCCTGCGGCCCGCCTGGCTGCTTCCACGACTGTCTCTGCCGAGCGACTTCGCCTCGTGGGTGCTGCCTTCTGGGGGATCGTTGTGGCGGGTCTGCTCTGCGGGGGCCTGGTCTGGTCGGAGGGGGCTTCGAGGGCCTCCGGTGGCGGCGGCGCGCCCGGCGGGGGCCGTGCATATATCTGCGGCTGGGGCGGGGCCTCCGCTGCCGCTCGCCCCAGGGGAGCTCTGGAAAGGTTCCGCCCTCCCTTGCCCGGCGGCGTCTGCGTGTCCAGGCCAGAGGCTCAGGGGGTCTGAATCCTCTGGGATGGGTGGGGCTGGTCCTGCCCGCGCCCTCGCGCACGGCTCCTCCACTGCTTCGCTCTCCGAGCTCTCGACGAGGTCCGCGTCGTCGCTCAGGGGTTCTTCCTCTGCCCTCTCGTACACGGTTCTCTGGCGCTTCTTCGCAGGGATATCGTCCAGCTCTCCTGCTTTCACCATCTTGCGGGTTAGCTTCTCAAGGATGTCGATGTACTCGCCCGCGATTTCGCCCTGCTCCTCATGGGGGGTGCCAGTCCAGCTCCGCGGCAGGTCCTCAAACATGGAGTTGATGCCCTCGATCAGGAGTTCGCGGGCCTTCCTCCTCCGATCTGGCCCCGTGGGATCGTTGGCCGGGACTCCGAGCAGGTTGTTCAGGATACACTCGGCCTCGTGGCACTTGTTCTCCCCATCCACGATGGCCGATGGCAAGGGGGTCTCGTCCCCCCAGGCTGGGTCGAGCGGGGTGGCCGCGCTCTGTCCGCTGGGGGGCTCAGAGCTGGCCCAGCGGGGATGCCTGGCCTGCGTCTGCTCCTCCTCACGCTCGCCAGCATCCCTCGCACGACGGGCCCGGCGGCGTTCCTTTGCTCCCCGATGCGCTTATCTTCCTCCTCCAGGACGCCCATCTCTGCAGCTCTGGCGGCCTCGAGCTTCCTCCTTATGCTCTCCAGCTTTATGCTGTCTGCTGAGCTGCCGCCGCTGCATCCTCCGGCGGGGGCTTCGCGGCTCTGCCTCTGGAGGGCCTGGGCAGCGGCTAGCTGGAAACGCTTTCCCCCAGGGGGTGGCGGAGGAGCCCGCCTGTTCCAGGCGACGGCGAGCTCCGGGCTGCCGAAGCCCCGGGAGCTGGCTCGGTCTGCAATCCTCAGTGTGACGCTGCGGTGGGAAGCAGGAGTGGCCTCATTATGGTGCCACGGCGCCTCCTCGCGCTCCTCGTCCACAGTTCTCTTGACCCAGCGCGGCGCCCAGGTCGCCCAGCTAT